AGGAAGGGCCCCATGGTGGGGGGTAGCAAGGATTCCCCGTGGCGTGGTGCCTTTCGGAAGGCCCGAGGGTGAGCCTCTCCCCACAGGTAGGGCCAATTCTGACCAGCAGCTGGGGTGGGAGCAAGCCGGGCCCTGCACAGACCCAGACCCTGTGCGGCCCACAAGGGAAGCCTGCCCCTCATGAGCCCTGCCTGCTGGTGCAGTCGCCACCTCGAGCCACGCTCCTCTTACCAGGGCCCCCGACATCTCGTGGGGTCCACACGGTCTCCCCAGAGCACTTCCATGACCTCCTGCATGGCAGGGTCTGAGGGTCCCGCGGCCTCACCGCCCTCCCACCAACACCCACACTCATGACACCTCCTTGCCGGGCCAGGCCCAGCCCCCACTCCAGGGACAAGAGGGACCTACCACCGGAGACACTGCCTGGGGCCAAGGGTCCTGGGTAGGGGAGTAGGCCCTGAAGGTGACTGTCACTCCCTGGCCTCGTCAGGGCCCGAGAGGCTCCGAGAGAAACCCAAGCTCGGACCACAGCCCTGGCGCCACGTCCAGGTGTGAGTGAGACTGGACCTGCCGCCCAGCAGGGGTGGGGACAGGAATGAGCTCCAAGGAGGGCACCGGACGCGCCCCAGCGCTGCTCACCTGTGTGTAGGTGCAGTTCTTCTTCCTGCACTTGTTGCAGGTGAACAGGTCTGTCTGCGTGCCGCCCGTGCGGGCCATCTGGTGCTCACGGATGGCCTCCTTGGTCATGGCCTTGCGGATCTCCTTCAGCTCGTCGCTGGCCATCTCCTGAGGCGAGGGGCCAACCGCTCAGCCCACGCTCCGCAGGCGCAGCCCCCAGCCCCTCCGACGGGCTCACCTCTGACGTCATCACTGCAATCTGCTGGGGCGTTATGGCGCCACACAGCACGTTCCGGCGCAGGTCGGGATTCTTGGCGTCCTTCAGGTTGGAGATGCGGCTCCGCACACGGTTCTTGTACTTCATGTCTGTGTTCCCGACGTCCCGGAAGATGCGTGCAGCCGTTTAAGGACCCGTCTGAGGCCAAAGCTGCTGCCCTCCAGCTGCCCCCGCCACACCACAGGGCCATGTTGGGTTGGGGGCCGAGGAGGCTCCGTCTGGCCACAGCCCACCCAGCCCTGGGGGTGAGCTGAGGGGCCACAGGGCTGGGCTCCCTAGACCCATTCCTGGCTGACAGGGAGCTTCAGGCTCAAGGCCCCAGGGACAGCACCAGTGGGCAGAATCAGCCCCTCGGCAGTCCAGGGAGGCCTCTCCTGGGACAAGGCTGCCCGACTGCCCCGGCAGGTGACCACCCCGGCAGGTGACCACCCCGGCAGGTGACCGCCCAGAGAGGGCCCTGGACAGCCTGGCAGTGGTGTCCAGCAGCCACCAGGGGGAGCCGGGCCCAGTGGCCTCCTGACTCTGCCAGAAACCCTGGGCCCGGAAGCCCCGCACAAAGGATATATTCCTCAATCTGGGCTGACAGACGCTCGCAGTCCGCACCAGTGGCCACGTGGTCATCTGCAAGAGGGAGCCCTGACAAGCTGCCCCACTGACTTCTCTGCCTGTACCACACCCTGGCAGCTAGCGGGGGACAGCCATGTCCCTGAGGGGCACTGCCCACGACCTCGGCACTCTGATATCCCCAAAGACCTCACCCCCTCCCGGGGTCACGACAATGGGCTGGCAGAGGAGGGCCATCTCTCTGGGAGTAAGCCTCTGGGGGCAGGCAGGGTCCCAGGCCACCCTGAGTCTGGTCTGTCAGGGGTCAGAGCCTGCCGGGCACTCACGGTCCGTCTGCAGGGCAGCAGTCAGCATCTCGCGGCACTTATTGCGCACGGCATCGCAGGTGACGGGCACTGGAGGGAAGGTGGTCATCCTCGGGGTGGGTGGTGTCCTGGGCAGCTCTGGCCTCCTGCGTCTGGAGAGAGGTAGGGCCAGGTGAGCTCAGGGGGCAGTGTGCACCCCAGTGAGACACTGGTCCCAGGAGAGCAGACGGCCTGGCACAATCCACGTCTCCAAACCCTGTCTGTGCTCCCGGCAGAGCCCAGCTATAGCTGTGAGCCTGTCTCCATCCAGCTGGCCGGGGAGGGGGGGGCCTCAAGGTCCCCCGTGGGTCAGGGCGCACTCCCCAAGTGGGAACAGGATGCCAGATCCCCAGCAACCAGCGCCTGGGCAGCTTCGCCAGCTGGTCAGGATGGGCTGTGCAGTTTCTGCCACCTCTTGGTGTTCACACCCTCCGGGAGGCCCAGAACACAGGCCTCCTGCGGACACCTCTCCACTGATGGCAGCCATGGCTGCTGCCAGGTGGGGGACAGGCAGAGACCTACAGCTGCCTGTGGGGGAAACAGGCTGGGGGTCACCCAAGGCCGGATTCTGCTGTCACAGGTAACCCCACTTGGCATGCATAGATGGGGACAAGGACAGCCCTCTCGAGGCTGCCTGATAACCAGGCTCTGTCCACCCAGCCCTTTGTGGAAATGAGCAGGGGCAGGCGGCTTCCCGGAGGAAAACCAATTCAAGCAGGTGTGCAGATGCGCTGCGGCCACACAGCCACACCCGGGATCCAGCCTGTCCTGCCCAGGCCCAGCCCCAGCCATGCCTCCCAGTCCAATCAAGGGCAGAGCAGTCTTTTGACCACAGCCTGTCACCGTGAGCACCGCAGCCTCCACGGCAACAGAGCCCTGACTGCACTTCCGGTCAGCGGTGTCCACACTGCGCATGCACGGTGGGAGAGGGGAGCCGGGCACCTTTGGTTCTGGGCGAGACTCTGCAGGAAAGAGGGGCCCTCGAGTGAGACTGAGGGGGCAGGCCACTGAGCACTAAACCCAGGACAGAGTGTCAGGGGACGTGGGCAGGGAGCTCCCACAGGTCCACTCAGGTGCGCAGCGGCTCTCTGCAGAGGACGGCATCGGGGTGGCTCGCTGACAGCCAGGCGGACACAACCCTGTGTCCCAGATGGTCAGCGCTCAGCCATGAGATGTAGTGTCCAGCGTGAGGCTGACTAGCCCTGTGCGTGGCCCCTCCGACAGCCCCTCCCTCAGAGCAGTGCCCAGGCACCCCTTCTCTGCTGAGGAAACTGAGGCTAGGAGGCAGGAGGGTGTGCACCGGCCTTCCGGGTGTGCTACCTGGGATCCATGGCCTCTGAGGCATCCTTGGAGGACGACGTGGGCAGAGGTGTGCCCCTCCCCCGCTCCCTGGCTTTGGCATCGGAAGCATCTGCAGTTGCCCAGAAACAAGAGGATGGGCCCATCAGGAGGGAAGGAGAGATCACCACCCAGGCGCAGCTTCAGCTAGACCACTAGCCCTGCCGTCAGCCCTGGCCCCTGGCCCCTGGCCCCGGCCCCCAGCACCGGCCAAGCCAGACAGAGCCAGGGCCAGGAGCCCGCCAAGCCTTCCTGCCGACAGGCCCTCTGCCCAACACGCCCTCATCAGCCTCTGCAGCCTGGAGGCCACCTCCCCGCACCCTCTCCCACACGCCCCAGCTCAAGCAGGCTGCCTCTGGGCCTCTGCGGTCCACCCTCCTGCCTGTCCTAGCTGAACAGACCAAACATTCCCCCGACAAGGCTCTTTCTAAACCCCAGCCTTAGGTGGAGCCAGGCCCAGGGCCTGCGCTGGGCTTGTGCCACGTGTGGCCCAATGGCCACACAGGCCCAGGTCGAGTGCCTGTTTCAAGGGTGTGCACAGAGCTGGGGAGGGGCCCCCCTCCCAGGGTCCAGAGGTGGGGCTGCCCTCCTGTCCCAGGCAAGGGCATTGCTATCACCCTAGTCACCCCACTGTACCCAGGAAGAGGCTGCCTTCTGTCCAGCTCAGCTCTCCTGGCCTGAGGCCGCCCCTTTGTTCCCTCTGAGCAGCTGCGGTGGCCCCACCTCCTCCCTCCCCGTCCTCCTCCCCTCCCCCTCTCTTCCTGGAGCATCTGGCCCTGCCCCCACCTCGGTGTGATCCCCCCCAGCTCAGTGCAGTCCCTCTAGGGCTCCTAGCCACCCCCCATGCTTGTCAGGTCAGTCCATGGCCCCCACTCTCTTGTCTCCCTGTTCTACATGGAACCCCCTCCCCAGCACACACCCTTGTCCCCCGCCCCCAGCCATGTCTCCTAGGCCACCCCTCCCAGCTGACACTGATGAGCAGTCACCAGTCAGCTCCTGGCCCCTGAGCTGGGCGCTTCCTGGCTCAGGTGTGCCCCCACCCCACTCCTGGGCGGCCCAGCTCAGAGGCAGCACTGCCAGCACCCTGCACTGTGCTGACCAGCAAGAGGCCAGCACTTTTTAGGAGCCCCATGCCCCAGAGCTCAGTCGGCACTGCCTGACCCGCACCGAGGAGCTTCTTCCAAGACTTGATGAGGGACTTGGCCAGCGCAATGACCTCCTCGTCGGAGCTCTGCTTCCGCAGGGCGTTGACGGACATCCCGACGCGGGTGGACTGCAAGGCAAGCAGCCTGGTCGGGTGGCAGTGGGGGCCTGTCCCGGACGTCAGAGCCTCCCAGCAAACCCTTAGCGGCTCCCACGGGGCAGGGGCTGGGCCTGGCGGGGGGAGGTAGACGCCTCTCTTCATGGGTACTGTCCCGTTTGGAACCCAGGAGCCTCAGCCATCAAGGACAGGATAGGTTGTCCTCTGACTCCCCTCCCTGTCTCATCGAGCACCAGAGAGGAGCAGGGACCCTCCCCTCAAGAACAGGTATTTGTGCCAGCCAAGGACGGGGTGGGAGGCGGTGGGCAAGCCCTGCCAGGTGCCCTTAGAACTGCTGTCCCCGGACTGTTCCCAGGAGCTGTCCCGGGCCTGGGGCAGGCAGGGACCTACCTGGAGCAGGTGCAGTGTGACAGGCATGGCCTTCAGCTCCCGCAGCAGGTCCATGGCTCCCTCCTGGAAGGAGAAGGGGGACCTTCATAAAGGACTTTAGATCTCAGTGGACAATCTCACCTCCTCCTGCCCACTGCAGAGGACATAGGCAGTGACAATTTGGAGATTCCACCTGGGGCCAGAGGGAAGCCACAGTTCCTCCACCTGGAGATACCCAGGGCTCTGCCCACGTGTTCTTACACCATGGCCAAGCGCCCTTCCTGCCTCCACCGCAGGGCAGGATGAGAAGGGAGTCCCAATCATTACAGGTCATGTGACTTCCTGACCCACATCTGTGGCAATGACCTCACGGGCCTCACTGTCACATCAGGTCACGGACCAAACCAGAAGGGAATGCCAGCCCCCGTGCACACTGGGGGCTGTTGAGGGCCACAGCCCCTCCCCAGCAGCCAGGGCCACACAGGGTGAAGGTAGCCCCAGGCTTGCTCACTCCCTGTCTGTCCACGCCCTGGTGTGTAGGGCAGCCTCTCCCCAGAGTGCCCCACCGGCCGGGAAAGGCCAACCGAGAACCCCAGTGTCCTGTGCTGAGGCCAGACCCTCAGGGCACCTCTGTTCCCGGCACAGCCATGGCCAATACCCACAAGGCTCACAGCCCCACTCCCGGTCCGTCCTCCAGGCTTCCGAGCTATCCCCAAGCAGCTGCCTGCACTGTTGTGACAGGCCCCCGGTCTCCTCCTCTGCCTCATCTCGCCACTCAAGCTCCATGTTTCCTCCAAGACCTCACACAGGATGAGGCCAGGCACAAAGAGGTCACACCTTCACTCCAGGCACAGTGCCTCAGTGTTCCCTATGGGTGCCGGGCCACTCACCCCAGGACTTTCACACCCGCTGCCCCACTGCCTGGAACACGCTCTCAGGGTATCTACGGGGCTCATGCCCACCCTCCCTCCAAAGCTTCGCTCAAAGCTTCTCGGCAAGGCCTCTCCTACTTATAACTGCAACTGTGCCATGCACCACCCTACCCTCCTCCTCTGGTTTGCTTCCAACAGCCCCAGTCCCCCGTGAACATACTGATGGGTTTCCTTGTGTGTATCCTTCCCCACACCATGAGGTGAGCTGACCCAGCCACTCAGATGTCCTGCAACCCACAGGCCATGGCGGGGGCTTCGCCTACCCACCCCCCATTCCAGGTGGCAGCTCTGTCCAGGGTGCAGTCCCCTGCTCACACAACCCCCCAGGCAAGCCCTGCCCCTCTGGCTGTGCAGAGTCCAGCCCTCAGGCGAACCCCTCAGAGGGGACACGTGATCACCAGAGCCAAAGGCACTGTTCCCCGACAGCACTGCACACCAGGGAATGTGGCTTCCAGTGGGCTCAAGACCAGAGAGGCATAAAACCCCCAAATACAGCCCCCAAGTTCCCCAAGGGGCCTCAGGCACTGGAACCCACCAGGAGCCTGCACTGGCTCTAACTCCCCACTCCACAGTGCCCCCCCCACTCTGCTCATGCTTTGACCAGACCCGCCCCGCCACCCACATTTGCTCCTGGCTTTATCTTTTGTGCTTTGTCTCCTTTAAGAAGGGAGGCAACTTCATTCTCTGCTCATCTCTGGAAACAGCTACAGATCATTCACCCACCCCTACCTTGTGCTGCTCACAGTCTCTCAGGGGTGTGAACACAATGGAGGGGGCGCTGCTTCCAGCATGAATGAATGAGTGGGAGCCCGCCCCCTTCCCAGTGTAGACCCCAGCCCAGAACCACGGTCAACAGGAAGCTAGACTCAATCCTGCTCAGACCAAAAAGCTTTCCCCGAATCCCCACTGCAGTCACACAGCCCTGGGGTGGCTGCGCAAGCCATCGAAAGCCCGTGACTCAGCCACCTTCACCACCCCGGGCTGGCCCAGCAGACATACAACTCAGCCCTGTCCCAGCAGCTCACAGTCTGGGTGGGAGGGCACAGGTCATGTTTATTGAGCCAGCCAGGCACTCCGTATGAACTCCTGGACCCCTCCCCACCTCCCATAAGGCAAGTACCATCTGCTAAGGATGCTGCTGTGGGAGGCTGTGGAGACTGCACAGGTTGCCAAGGTCATGATGCTGGAATTGGACCCCCACTGGCCTCGCCCCTCCCAGAGGCCTCATAAGCAGCCTCCGGTAGCTCCCTGTGGCCGCTGGACGACAGGCCCAGGCTGCACAGTGAGCGGAGCCGGCAGGAGGCTCCAGTGCCCAGACACTGCCAGGCCAGGCTCGCTCGACCTCCTAGGTCTCACACAGCAGTCTCTTTTCTGAGGGCGTCTACATATCTACCCACGCCCCAGTCGCTGCTGCCTGAGTCCTGGCTAAGGAAGGGGAAGAATTTATTAGAGAAACCTGGTTCTTGTAGGGTGGGGACAGACAGAGAAGAAAATGGGCCCCGCAGCCAGGAAAGGCCTTTGGCCAGCCTGTGAAGGGGGCTGACACCAGCCAGAAAGGAGTGCAGGAGGCATCACTGCTCCAGGGAAAAGGGGTCCAAACTCTCACAGGCGGCAAAGGGCATGGAAGACCAATGGGGGGCGAGGGCTCCAGGCTGGGGGCAGGGCTCGGCGGGGAACAGTGGAGGCCCCATGAGGATGCTCAGACCAGGATGGAGGAAGGCGCGGGGACCAGGGGGCCGGGAGGTCTGCAAGAAAGGGCTGAGGTGTAAGGTGGGGGTGGGGCCTAGGAAGTTGTCCACTGGCCAGGCGGGGGTCTGGAGTCAGGGGACGGGGAAGGGTGCAGAGCCCGGGTCTGCGGGGTCTCGGCCAGGCAGGAGGGGTCGAGTCCAGAGCGTGGCTCCCGGGACAAGGTCCAGGCCCGATCGCGGCCTCTGCGGGAGTGCGGGGGTGAAGGACAGGACAGGGGTCTCGGCCACGGGCGGGGGGCTCCCCGCGTCCCGGGAGTCTCTGCCGGGGCAGGGCCTCGTCCTGCCCCTCAGGTGGTCTCCCCGCCCTGACGGGGGTCGGCGAGCTCGACGGGGTCTCGACGGGGCGGGGGTCCCGGGGTCCTGGCGGCCCGCGCCCCTCACCGCGCTCTTCTTGGTCACCATCTTGTCCAGCCTCCGGGCGATCCGCGCAATCTCCTCCTCTTTGCCCATCATCGCCTCGGGAACAGCGGCCCCCGCGCCCGCCGCGCCCGCTTCCGCCGCCCGGCCCGGAACCCGGCCCCGGCCGCAGCCGCCTCCTGCGCCCGCCTCAGCCGACTCAGCCCGGCCGCGGGCGGCGGACCCCTGGCCCAAACCCCTGGCCCCCGCGGCCGCGCGTTGCATCCCGGGAAGTGTAGTCCCTGCGCCCGCCGCCCCGCCCACCGCGCGCGCCCTCGCCCCGCCCCGGACCACAACTTCCAGGAGGCCCCGCGGCGCGCACGGCCTCCTGGGAAGCGTAGTCCTGACGCGCCGCCAGAGCTCGCGGTCCCGGGGCCGCCCCCTCCCCCCCGGCCTCTCGGCTCTCGGGGCGGCCCTCAGAGCAAGGCCAGCGGGGCGCTCCCGCAGCGCGCCTCGGCCCCTCCGAGCCCCGCGCTCCGGCCTGGCCGGCTGTGCCCCGCTGGAAGTCCTGCCCTTCGCCCGCCCGGAGCCGCGCGGAGGTCCCCCGCGCGCTGGGAGGCCTCGCGTGGGGCTGTGGCGTCTGGAGGGGCCGGGGCTGCGGCGACAAGGCCCCGGTCTCCGCAGCCAGCCTGCCGGGGTGCGGCCCGGCTCTGCTCGCTGGCTGCTGTGTGCCTCGGTGTCCCCACCGTGAAACTGGGCCGGCAGTAGTGCCTGCCTCACAGGGCCGCCTGCCGTCAGGAAGATGTGAGCTGATTCACCCCTGAAGACGGGCCGGGCAGCGGAGCAGGGGCAGGCAGTTCTCGTCTCCACCGCCCGGCTCGTCCCGGGAAGGCCGGGCTGCACGCGGCCAAAGGGGCTTCCCCTGCCTGGCGGGTCGGGAAGGGGAGAGGTGCAGGGCAGCATCCCCGCAGATGCCTGCCTGCCACCTCCCCAGTAATGCAGCGGGGGCGGGGTGTTGGGGGATGGTGCAGACCGAGGGGCTGCTGTCTGTAGTGCTGTGAGGCCCATGGGCACTGAAGTTCAGGCCAAGAAACTATGAGGCCAGGTGGCAGGTGGGATGGCCAGATGACTGAGGCTGACCATGCCTGGAGCTCGCGGTGGCATTACATATGAATAAGCTCCCCAGTAGCCAAAGTGAAAAGGGAAATATGGTCAGTTATGAGATTCATTTTTCCCCCTATTAATGAGGGAAGAGATTCATCTTAATCATAAGGAAAAAGGATGGAATTCTTTGTAGAGAGCAAAGCTTTTCCAAAACACAAGGCTCTGTGATGGATGAACACAACACCTCTAGTTTCCGTACTGACTCTAATTCTGCCCCTCACTGTGAGCTGGGGCCGTAGCTCTGAGCCCAGCCCAACCAAGCAAGTCCTTGTGGCCAGAATCCCACGGTCTGAGCATGTGTGAAGCCTTTGAGGGTCCAGCCAAACCAAGGGAACCAGGAGAGGCTGGACCCACTGACCCTTCAACCACCCTCTCGATGGCTGGTAAGTAACCAACCAGGGTCCCACAGAACCAGCCCAGGAGCTGCCCTTGTGCAGGAGCCAGAAGGAACCCCAGAAAACATGGCTTCAGAGATCCAGGCTGCAAGGCTTCAGAGCCGCTCCCTGTCATCCACGGGGACCCTGGACACATCCATGGAGGCAGCCCAGCCAGCGCTCAGAGATACAGGCCTCTCCAGCAGACAGGGCTGAGTTGATTCGAAGCCCACGTAAAGGCAACCCTACCCTCGAGCTGGGGGACACCTCCAGACACCAAGACTGGAACTCCCGAGACAGAAGCAGCCCTGCTGGGTGGGAAGCTTGAACTCAGGTGGCCAGCACAGAGGAGAATGAAGCAGGCAGGTGTGTGTCCAGGTGACCCCAACATAGCTTCACCTCTAAGATTAAAGTCAGAAAGGAGAGGGCCAGGACAGGCCTCCCCGACGCATCACCACGCCGTCAGAGGAGTTTGTGCAGAGTTTGTGCAGGTTGCTCTGAGGTGCCGGCGGGGTGCCAGCACCCCCCACCCCCGAAAAAGTTGCTGTCATGGAGCCAGCAGTGAGGCTGGTCCCCATCTGATTTCTCCCCAGGACAGACAAGCACAAAGTTCTGGGGAGGGAGCACACACAGACACCTGGAAAACCGGACTGAGGCCCCACCCTTGACCCTGCCTGGGTCGACCAACCCGGTGAGGGGACTTCGCGTGAGGGATGCTTTTAAATATCTGGCTCATTTGAATGTTTCAATCCACAGAGATGCCCCAGCACAGTGCCTCTCAAAGCTTTATCCAGGCAGCTGGTTAAGAACAAAGAGCCCTGCCCCTTGCTGCCCCCGGGGTGGGGCCCTGGGGTCTTTGTCCCCTGTGATGCCTCTGTGCAGGTCGGAGGTACAGGCCACAGGCCAGCGGGGGTGCATGAGGAACAATGGGTGCCCTAAGGAGGGAAGAGGCTCAAGACGGCTGGGGGCTGCGTTTCAGGGGTGCAGAGGGTGTCCCAGGGGCTGGGAGGTGGGACGTTGGTCTGCGTTTCTATCCCAGCCCCAGCAACCTCCCCCAAGTTGTGGGGAGGGACAAATGTCCTGCAGGGCACGGTCTGTCGAGACGGCAGATGAGACAGAGACAGGGTCTGGGAGCTGTGGAGGGGCCAGGTAAGGCAGGAGGGAGCAGTGGGACGGGGGCTCAACAGTCCAAGGGGTCAGTGACCAACCTCCGGATGGAAAAACGACTACGCGGGAAGAAATCACCATCTGCTTTCTGCTGACCTCTGGGGAAACGTATCACCCCTTCAGTTATGAGCAAAGCCACGAGCCACCTCTGGTCAGCAGGGCCCGTGACTGAACGCAGCACAAACCACAGCCGCTTCACGCCGGACACTGTTGCTTCTGACGCCGCACGTCACTGCTGCTGAGAACGGCGGTGGCTGTTCAGCCCAGCCCCACATCTTGTTTTTCAGTGAGTTGAGAAAGACACACTCAGAGGGCTGGCCTGGTGGCTCACACCTGTAATCCCAGCACTCTGGGAGGCCGAGGTGGGAGAATGGCTTGAGCTGGGGGGTTCAAGATCAGCCTGCGCAAGAGTGAGACCCCGTCTCTGCTGAAAATAGAAAAAATTAGCCGGGCGTGGTGGCGTGTGCCTGCGGTCCCAGCTACTCGGGAGGCTGAGGCAGGAGGATCGCTTGAGCCCAGGAGTTTGAGGTTGCTGTGAGCTGTGGTGATGCCACTGCACGCCACCAGGGAAAGAGAGCGAGACTCTGTCTCAAAAAAATAAAAGCACTTGGGTTTCTATGCCACACGTTTTAGAAAATATTTTCATAACCACATGTTAGGATAATCGGTTTCCTGTATAATCCTATGAATTCTACTGTGCACACAGCCTCGGGATGTGGCAGAAGGACATGGTACTGAGGGGACCCTCGTTTGGGAGCCAGCTCTCTCCCTTGCTGAGCCACGGTGGAGGTCCCAGACCACCTGCCACGGGCCCTTGTCCTTCTCCCTGAGATGCCAGGTGGGCCCTATCTCCTGGGACTCGGGAAGGGCCACGAAAGACAGAGCTCATAGGAGCCTAGGATGTCTCAGTGGGTCTCCGTGGAGGCCCCCCAAGGCTGCAGACAGACGCAGCCCCAGATGCCGAAGCCCCTTCAGGACAAGGGCTGGGGGGTCAGGGGATCCCCGCAGGACCTGGGGGGCCTGGCGGTGGGCCCAGCCTATTGGGCTGCACGAGGGCATCTGGGGACCCTGATCGGATAGGTGTGGACAGGGTCAGCGGTGGCCTGGCCCATGGTAGGGCGATGATGGGGAGAAAAGAGTGGGCAGGACAGGTAGGGTGGATGGCAGAGGAGGGGCTTCCCACTTGGGGGCCACAGCCCCCATGACAGGAGCCCCGAGTGGAAGCGGCCTCTGCAGGGGGAGGGTGCGGACCCCTCTGGGGCAATCAGCCAGCCTGGAGTCTGGCGGGGCGGCCCTGCCGGTGGGTCAGCAGTGATGGCCCCAGGGGCCTGTGAGGAGCAGGGGCCTCTAGGTGGCAGGAGTGAGCCACAAACCAGCGGGCCCGGCTCCGACGCACTAGGAAGAGCCACAGCTACCTGGCCGGGACCATGAAGCAGCCAGGGCAGTGTGGCCAGTCCCGGCGAGAGGCCCTTGCTGGTGGGGCTCATGGCACTGCCCAACCCCAAAACTCCCAGCTCCACACTTTAGAAATCCCTGGTCCTGGGGTCCCTCGTGAACTTCCAACCTGTGGGAACTAGCTCAGAGCGTTCACACCCCAGACCCCTCTGGACCTTACCGACCTTGGGAACTTCCTCCTCCAAGGAGTTCCCCCAGCAAGCTGCCTGGGCCACCAGACCCTCCTGTGCCCTCAGGAAGCTTCGCCCTAAGGGTGACAACATCAGAACCACTGGATTCTTGGGACATTCACCCCGACAGGGTGCCGTCCCTCCAGACCCACCCCAGCCCCTCTGCCATTGAAGAACCTTCCTTGTTGAGGCATGTCTGGCACACATGCGCACACATGTGCTCACGTGTGGAGCCACCGAGAACTGGTTAGTGCAGCATCTGTCTCCCCGGGATGCACTCAGAGGGCAAGGACCGTGTGTTCCCCTCTCTGCCCCATCCCCAGCCCTGAGAACAGAGCGTGGCACCCAGTAGGTGCTCGGGAAACACGTGCAGCCTGAAGGGAGGAAGGGCCTCCAGGTGGAGGGGGACACGCTCCTGCGCCATGCTCCCTGCCATCAGGCCTGCCACGCCCAGAGCGGGAGCCGGGACAACGTGACCTGCAGCTGGGAGCAGAGGACCCCAACCAGGAGCCGCCACAGGGCGAGGGAGTACCCTGCTCACCCTCCCAGACCCACCTGCCACTGACACCCACACGAGACCTCCGTACCAGGAACCCCGTCTCCCTTGGGCTGAGCCCCACTTGGCTCATCCATCAGGGGTTTGTCGCCTCCTCCAGGAGGCCCTCCACACTTGTCTTCATGGACAGAGACACACGATCTGCCCTCAGGAGCCCTCTGAGGGGAAGACGTGGCCCAGCTTGGAGGTCTGAAGGGGTAGCCGCGGCCCTAACAGGGGTCTGGGGAAAAGCCCAGGGTCCACTCAGTGGGCCGGTTGCACCTTTGGCCCAGAGGTCAGCCCCCTCCCCCGTCCCAAGTCCAGGAAACATCGGAAGCTCGGGCCATTTATTTTTCTATTTGTGTCCCCCGCCCCCCGCCTGCCCAAGCTGGCCGTGACCCCAGTGGCCGGCATCCGCGCTTCCCCTCTGGCCGAGGCAGGGCCGCGGTGGGAACGCTTGTGCTGCCAAACTCACACAGAGCCCCCCGTGCTCCCGCGTGACCGATGAGCAGGGGCCCCACCGTCCCAGCCCGGGCACCCAGGGGCTGTCTCTGCACCCCATTCCCCCAGACCCTCCAGCCCACTGTGACCCCAGCCAGTCCTGAGGTCTTGGATGCTGGCCTCTGAGGACAGGCAGGGCAGTGGCCAGGGACTTAGGTCCAGCAAGAGTGCCCCGCTGCTTTGTGCCCGCAGATGAGGACAGGGGATGGGGACTAGACCCACTGCTCCTGGCTTTGCCAGAGCCGCAGCCAGACCTCTGGACCTCAGTCCCACAGTCTGCGGAATGGGAAGAGCCGCCGCCAGGGCAGTGACTCTCCCTTGGAAAGTCCCCAGCCCCGCCCATAGCCTTGGCCCAGGGCCAGCTCCCTCCCCTAGAGGCTGTCTCAGGGAGGCAGGAGGCGTCCCCAGAGGCCAGTGGCAGCCCTGGCGGCCTGCTCCAGGCTCGCTCTAACAATGCGCTTCCCCCACACAATTCCCAGAAACGCTGCCCTCCCTGCCCTGTCAGCCCGCCAGCCTGGCGGCCACCCCACCCTCCCCCCTCCCTGAGGGCCCCAGGCAGCCACGGGGTCAGGGGCTATGGGGGAAGCACGGAGGTCTGACTCACAAGGGGCAAAACCAGGGTCCCTGAGGCAGGGCCTCCCAGGGGCCCAGGCATGCTGGCCCGGGCCCTGCCCTCCCTCCCAGAGGGCCAGCAGGCCTGGGAGACCCCTGGGGCAGCTGGGGGGCAGTGCCCGAGGGCCAACCTTGGCGGGGGGGGGGGGGGGGCCTGCAGGAGCAGAGTCCACCCTCATGGCAGCTTTGCTGAGGCTATGGAAGCAAACGCAGGTCACAGCCCCCCACTCAAAACCCCCCCAAGTTCCCAAGTCCTACTCAGACGAAAAAGCAAGACCCTCCCAGACCCTGCTTGGTGCCCCCTCAGCATTCACACTTGCTGCTCTGCCCACAGCAGCTTCCCTGCCCCAGGGCCTTGCCACGTGCCCCTCCTCTGTGTCAAACACACCTCCAGAGGATTCCCCTGTCCCCTCATATATGTTCTTCAGGGGCTGCCTCAAAAGTCACCTCATGAAATAGGCAGTCAGCACCCCAAAACAGACCCCTTCCTATACCCAGCACCCCAAATTCTGACTTGTGTGTAGATTTGTTGACTGTCTCTCTGCACCAGAATGGAAGCCTCCCATGGGCAGGGATGTGGCCTGTCAAATTCTCTGCCAGTTTCCTAGAATAAAGCTTGGTGCACGACAGGTGCTCAGTAACAAACAAGTAGATGGATGGATGACTCCCGCCCCTGTGCAAGGCAGGAGAGGTGACCCCCAAGAACACAGACCTGCTCCTCCAGCCCATTTGGTAGCCCTAGCCGATTGGGCTACCAAAGCCACTTGTCACCAAAGCAAGGACGAGCAACTGAAAAGAAATGCACAGCTGCTTCCAGCCCTGCAGAGCTGCGGCCAGGTGGGCAGGTGACCCCTGAGGGGCCCTCTCCTGTCCTGGCCTCCCCGCAACCTCTGTTTCCCAGTCTGGCAGGGAGGGAGGGGCGGGGCCAGCCCGGGGCAGGGAAGCCACTGTGGGCATTGCCTTCCAGGGGCCTTGGTGTATAGTGACGCGTGCCAACATACACCCGGCAGTGCAGGGCACACAGAGAGCTCCCCTCTGCCTCCAAAGGGACCAGGGCACACACAGACCCAGCCCCATAAGGGCAGCCATGCAGCATGAGGGGGCAGGCCAAGGGTGGGGCCTCTGGACAGAACGTCTGGCGCCTGCTCAGCCCAGGCTGCCCTAGGCTCCCTCCTCAGGCACAGCCAGCCTTCCTTCCTGAGCTGGGCTGTTTCCTGACCCCGCCCTGCTGTTGCCATGGGAATTCAGAGCAGCCCAGGCCCCCCAGCCTGGTTCCCATGGAGCTCCTGCCCGGCAGCACTCGGGGAGGCCCACACAGCACGCAGCAACACCCAGGGACACACGGAGCCCTGCAACCACCCCCCAGAGCAGAACACCCCCCAAAAGCTTGCACAATATCCTCCCGGGGCTCACACAGCATGCCTGGACCCCCACTCTCATCCAGCACCCCTAGAAGTGGACACAGTCTGCGACGACACCCTGGGCACACACCCACCACAGCGTGACACCCCCAGAATTCAGGAACAGCTTCTACATTGCCCGGACCACAACCCACACCTTTAGACACCCCCCCCGCAGCCTGACACCCCACAAGCACACGAACACTCTGGTGGATGCGAGACACCCAGCTTTGCATGCAACTCTCGGGTCCACAGGACAGCAGTGAATGGTACACACGAAGCCTGACCCCCCACCCAACACTTGACAGCCACCACCCAGGCCAGCGTGAGCACTTGAACCCTCACCCTCTCACGCCTGCATGTGCCCAGAAAGCAGGGGGCACCCACTGCCCACCCCACTGCCCCTTCCCGAGCTGAAGCTGGCAGCACCTCAGAATCCCGGTGGCTCTGTGCACAGCAGGACAGACAGCAGGAGGGTGGGAGGCCAGGAGAACCCTCTGTCCCGAGGCAAAGGCCCCAGTATCCACCTGAACCAGACCTGTCCTTGGCCAAGAGACACACAAACACACAAGTGAGCTCACCTGGCTCTGAGGCATCAGGTGACCTCCTCAGAGACCCTGACCCCAGGAGAGAGGTTGAGGCTGACCCTGGCCTCCAATGCCCCCACCCTGGCCCTCAGAGGCCTGCAGCCTCCGCCATGTCAGGCCAGGCCAGGAGCTGCCACCGAAGGACCAGCTGCCGTGCAGAGAGGCAGGAGGCAGGATCTGAACTGGGCAGCCAGCTCCAAAACTGAGGTCTCAGGAGACCAGAAAGTCCCCTCCACCTGAAACTGCATCCGACAGGGACCCCCACCTCCACCCTTGGGGAGTAGGAGACTTCAGGCCCTACAGGATTCAGTAATTGGTCCCAGCCTCGCTGCTCCTGCAGCCGCAGGGGCTGGGCTGGTGGGAGCCTGGGAGGTCTGTGCCCAGGCAGTGCCTGGGAGGTCCCACCACCCCCGGAGCCGAGCCAAGCCAAGACCCCACCCAGAGCCACTGAGGCGGACTCCCCGGCATCCTTTGCGGAGCCTCACCCGAGGCTGGGGCCGTGGGGGCTGAGGGAGGGAGCAGGTGTCGGGCAGGGCGGGCAGCATCCACTCCATGCCCAGGCAGAGAGAGCTCACCCCCTGCTCTTTCTGTGTGGGGGCTGTGGGCTACCACACAGGCCCCTTCCCAAGGGTGGGCGGCAGGCAGCTGGGCCGGCCAGACTGAGGTGAGGCTCCAGAGACATAGGGGTGCCCCTAAACTCATCAACTTCTCCCCCTTTGAACAGGGCTGGGGCCACAGCTCAATGGCCAGAGAAATCTTAGTGACTCCTCCCTTTCTGGGCTTGGAGGGCCACACTTCACTGTGTGGGACCCCTGGTCCTCCACCCCTGGGTCCCCACTTCCTCAGGGAGTCCAGCTTGTCTGGCTCCCAAGGCCCTGGGTAGCCTCCGGCTCTTGGGTCCACCTTGCCCCACACCCAGGCTGACAGGCCACGCAGACCCCTGGACCATGTAGGATGGATGCCCCTCCCTCGGCAGAGCTGGCCACACCCACACCACCCCGTGCAGCCCTAGGAGTCCCCCAGCCTTGTGGCTCCGGGGTCAGGGCCACCCGACTGCAGTCCTCACCCCCGCTGCCGTCCTCACCTCTGCCGGGCAGTGTGCATGGTAGGGGTAGCCTGACCCTGCAGAGGGCAGGCGGCACCCCAGGGGGCTCCCAGGACATGACGCCAGACCCCTGAGTCCACAGTGCAGGCCAGAGCTAGAGCCACTGGCCAGCGCCACACAAGGCAGCTCTGGGGGGTGGGGGGCAGTGGGACAGGGGGCAATGAGGTAATGCCAGATGCTGCCCTCCACCAAGCTCTGGGCCACCTGGATCACTCGGTTCTCAGAGGCTGCAGAGGACCAGGCAGAGCACAGGGAACTACAGACCCATCCCAGTGTGCAGAGGCCTCCTTCCCAAGCCCTGGTGACCATCATCCTAGACCAGCCACCTCCCAGGCTGAGCCCAGCCCTGGTGACCCCAGACTGCACCCATAAGGCTGTGGATAAAGGTGGCCTCTGCCAAGTGCTGGCTGAGGGGAGGTCGGGGCAGCCCTGGCTCTTTGGACCCATCCCCCAAACTAGAGTCTTCTTCATACAGCCCCGACATACACCCTCCTGCCGGCCGCCCAGGCCACCCACCCACACTGACACCTGCTCAGAAGGGAGCTGGTAACACGTGGGAGAGGCCTGTGAGCCCACCCATCCCAGCAGCCACTGCCCTTGAGAAAAGCCAGAGACCCCACTGCCTGGCGCCCCCACTGCCCCCCGACTTGCTGGCTCTGGCTCAGCAGCCTCGATGGAGGTGCTGGGGCCCGTGAGTCAAACTCAGAGAACAGGCGCTTTGGAGACCAGCCCGGGAAACCCAGCCCTTTACCACTTCGATGATGGATGGCCACTGCCAAGACCTACATGACAGAGTGTGACGTGGGGACATGGGGAAGGGCTGGACACCCACCAACAGCCCCCAGGTCAGGTATCCGGTGGGGGTGCTGGCCTCTCCTGGGGGCAGCTCAGGAACAGCCACAGAGGGAAGCCGTGGACCCGTGGACCTGCCCCATCCGTAAGCACAGACTGTGCGGGCGAGAGGGGGACCTGGGCAGAACCAGGAGCCTCTGGCCATACAGGCCCAGGGTCACTGATACCTGTGGCCTCAAGCGATGGGGCTCCCCACGCTCGGGGCTGAGGCTCCTGACACGTAGGGGACTGCAGAGCTTCCCGGCTATGAGTTGTCACGCAGAGGGGTTGGACATTCTGAGACCTATCCCTCTCCAACAGAGCCACGCTTGGCAGGGGGAGGGCAGGACCTCTCTGGGAGAGACCCATCAGCTTCTGGAGCCCAGATCTCCTCCCAGTGGGGTCAGAGGGGACAGTGAAAATTAAGCAGACTGAGTCGGAGCACAACAGTGCACACCTGTAGTCCCAGCTACTCGGGAGGCTGAGGCAGGAGGATGGCTTGAGCCCAGGAGTTCAAGTCCAGTCTAGGCAACATATCCAGATCCATCTCCAAAAAAAAAAAAAAAAATTAAGATGAACAGAGCCTCCTCTGCAAAGAAACTCTCCCAGGTGAGATGGCCACAGGGAGGGGACACCAGGAAGGACCCACGTTCCCCAGCCTCCCTGGCTCCTCTGTCCAGCTTTGCTTTCTCTTGCTGCAGCGGCAGGCTGAGCAGGGCAGGGGAACAGCCAGCCACGGGGGGGGGTCCCAGCCTCCCACCCCACAGGCCCTGAGCAGCCAGGCTGGGGCCAGGGGCTCTGAGCCCTCTGTTCTCCCTTCTCTTCAAGGCCTCTGTGCAGCGTTACCCTCTCCCTTCCTGTCGGGAGTGCAGGAGGAAACACCAAGACCACCTTCTCCTAGAGCAACCGCTTGGGCAGCTCGGGGGAAGGTGTTCAAAGTCCCGCCGTGGTGCGGAAGGTTCCACGTGCGTGTGCAGCGCTGGAGGCGTAAGGGGCCTTTGGGGAATCAGCGCACACTCCCCCCGTGCGGGGCGCTTTTCCCAAGGTGCCAGACTCAAGGAGGCACTTACCCGCTGCTGGGAAGGCGGCCGCCCAAGACCTTGGTGCTAAAATATGGCCCTCTCCTCCCAGTGTAACCTCGTGTGGGGGTGGCAGCCAGAGCAGGACACTGCCGCCCTCCCCAATTACCGCCCGGGGGCCTGACTCCGTGGGTGGGGTGGCAGCTTAGCTCGGAAAGTCTCACAGCCCCAGCCCACATCAGCAGCCCTTTCCCACTCGGGGGTCTCTCCTTCAGAGAGGGTGCGGGGGG